GATCTTAACTATAGGACTCTCAAGGAAAATGTTGATTTGTTGAAATTGATTCAAGTTGGTTTAACGTTTTCTGATGAGAATGGGAATCTTCCCACTTGTGGGACGGATAAGTTCTGCATCTGGCAATTCAATTTCCGTGAGTTCAATATCGGTGAGGATATCTACGCCAGCGAGTCGATTGAGCTGTTGCGTCAGTGTGGGATTGATTTCAAGAAGAACATTGAGAAAGGTATTGATGTGGTTAGGTTTGGTGAGCTTATGATGTCGTCTGGGATTGTTTTGAACGATGCTATCTCGTGGGTTACTTTCCATGGAGGATATGATTTCGGGTATCTGGTTAAACTGTTGACTTGCAAGGAATTACCTCTCAAGCAAGCTGATTTCTTCAAGCTACTGTATGTGTATTTCCCTACGGTTTACGACATCAAGCACTTGATGACGTTCTGCAACGGACTGTTTGGCGGATTGAACAGACTCGCTGAGCTAATGGGAGTGGAAAGAGTTGGGATTTGTCATCAAGCTGGGTCAGATAGCTTGCTCACCTTAGGCTCGTTTAGGAAGCTCAAGGAACGTTATTTCCCGGGATCAACTGAGAAATACACTGGAGTCTTGTATGGTCTAGGTGTGGAAGATGGTACTACTACTGTTGCTAATTAAGAAGAAAGATACTTGAAAATTCCAGGGAACTGCAGTTAGATTTTTCTTTAGACTTTGTGAGTGTGAGACCAATTAGAATTGTCTTTGTGTAAATTGGCAAATTTGGTGTAGTAAGTGACTTGTTGTGTCTTTGTTGCTGTTGTTTTCAGGAAAACCCCTTCTGATCAAAACTGAGGGGTTTTTGTTTTTAGCTTGAGTTTCTGAATGTATATCAATTCAGCTACCCGTTTATTTAATAAATAATCTCCAATTTTATATTTTCCTCTCTTTCTTTTTGGTGTGTGTTCTTACTAATGACCACTGTATAACTTGACAGTGTCTTCTTGTAGTAGCGTTTGCTTGTTCCAGCTTGCAGGTACTGTGTAATTCTTTGTAACCATATATCAGTCTGAGGATGCAAACGGGTAAGTTTTATGTTGAATAGAATGTTGAATCTTCTTCCTCTTTCCTTTGATACGGGTTGATAAGAAGAACAGTGGACTTCTTATGCTAAAAATTATCTGACTTCTTATGCTAAAAATTATCTGTTTATACAATAAAAAAGCTGGAAACTGTTATAAACCATATGGATGGACTCCATAACCGGCCCATGGCCCATTAGGGTTTTACCCAGTGTTCTAAAAAGCGGTCTAGGCGGTCGCCTAGGCCCCGACTAGGCGCTAGGCTCTCATGCGACGCCTAGATAACCGCCTTGACCGCCTAAAATTACATAGATCTTGTTTAATGTATTTTTTCAATTTCAATTAGAGTTTTATTTATATATATAGTTATAAATATTCATATATTGTTTAATATAAATATAAATAAATATTTTATCTAATTTTTATTTATAATTTCATAATTTTTAGTTTTATATAGATATTTTATATAACTTTTATATATAATATCATATTGATAATGTTTTATGTTATAAACGTCTAAACCGCCTAAAAAATCGTCTAGGCCCCGATTAGGCGTTCTAGGCGCTAGGCACTGGGTCACCGCCCGCTTAGCGCCTAGCGCTTTTTTGAACACTGGTTTTACCTTATTCTCTGTATCATGCTATTATCCTTGTATATATATCCCTTATACTATTAATGAAAGACACAGTTCACAACAGAAACTATGGTAATCGATTGATGAATATATTTGTTCTTTTGGTGGTCTTAGACTCTTAGTTAATCTGGAGGAGAATCACATACGTATGTTGCATTTGCCAATCACCTCAAGAGCCAAGAGCCAATCTATTATCATATTGTATAATGGAGTAGCATTCTACATGCAATCAATGTTTGTTTGGCCAAGTATTCTTATTCCTATTCTAACGTCATCTGAGTCGCAAGTGGTACAGAAGATTACGAGATGTGACTGATTGAGACGTAGCTCATTCAATTGCCGAAGAATTTTTTTTTTTATCAGCATGTTGGAAGTATTATGTCAAATGTGGTTTTGTTTGGTATATGAACTCAGATTCCACCAAGATAAATAAATTATTAGTTTCTCAAAACCTTATATATTTCATTTTCTTTACACTTTTTTGCAACGGGACGAAAATGGTTATTAAACTTTTTTTTTTTTTGGTTCTTATACATTACACGAAATTGTTTGATGGTCGAAAAAATATGATTCAATAGCTTTGATAGCAATATGACACGAGAAATAAAGTAAAAAGAAGAAAACAAAAGCAATACGGCAAATGTCCGAGTCACTATTATGTAGGTGTGGCAGAGAATCAAATCTACTTGACTACTTGTTAGTATTACAGAAGAAACAGTACTTGTTAGTCCTGTCTTTAACGGCTTCTCTGAGTCTCTTCACGTGGCAACAATTGTTTGTGTGTTGGGATTCTGATCTGGGCCTTCGTTGTGGGCTTTGGTCACTAGTCCTTGGAGGTGAGAGAACATTGACTTGTGATCAAATTCACTATTATCAAAATATGGATTACTTTTTTAAAAAAATGTTCTTTACATCATCACCTAATACATATCACTATATCAGACTTGATTTGAGTCATTTAGTGTTATTGTATTGTGTTTGCGATGTGTTGTTTTGTATTATTTGTTATCGTTGAAGAAGTTTTGTTAAGCCTAAACATATGTAAAATAAATAAAAATGAATGTTGAAACATCAATTGACGAAACCAAAAAGACATGCATGTTTATCAATTTGCTTGCGACAAGCAAAATATCAGTGCCAACCCTAGTTATAACGATTAAGAGTTATCAACTTAGTATGATATATCCTTGTGATTCCAAAAAAAAGCTGTCAAGCACCCACTTATTTTATGAGTTTTTTTTTTTTGTTGCTGTACTTGATTGCGGAAAAAATGGTAACTATGATTAGGGATATTTATATTTTATTGTTCAAAAATGAAGAGTAAGGTTAAGATGGAGTTCTGGAATGTACTTTCTGCCTAATTTCGGACGAGACAGAGCAAATCTAATTAAAAAGATTCAGCTGATTTGTGATTATTACTGATAACACGAACAGTGTTTATATCTGTAATCATCCATGTGGGGGTGTTTCTCCTGCACCACTTGTCTCACTTCCCCTTTCTCAATCATGTTTCTTGTTTTTAATGCTATTTTACAAGTCACAATAATAATTAATATGATGCCTATACAGTCTTAAGTTATTCTAAAGTTCATACTAGTGTGCATAAAGACTACTATGACATTAGAAAATATTTCATGAAAGAACTAAAAAGTAGAAGACTAGGGAACAAATCATCAAACACTTCAGATTTTTCGGAAATACAAAATTTTGTAAGTCTCTTACATGTAATAGTCAATCAAATTTTTAATTATAATACTAACAATTGATTCACCGAATCAGCTTCACATATTTCTTTAATTCTGGATCGTTTGTACCATTGGACCCACGAATTATATATAGGTCGCATTCGACAAAATACTCAACATACTTAAACTAGTTGTCCTAACAATTAGTTCTTTGGATTTTACTTACCTATTTTTTTTAATCCGAGTTCCACTACATATAATTTATGCTAAAGTTTGGGAGAAATATAAATAAATATGTATCTAAAGATTCGTATCCCGAGCACAGATGAGACGCTTTGTCGTTTCACTTTGTTTTCCCACCCAAACCAGAACAATTTTATTGGCCTTCGAATATTTCAAAAATCAAACAATATTCATTTGATAATTATTGTCGTGATAACCCGCTCTTGTCGCATTCGAATCCAAATATTATGAAACAAAGTACATGATAAATGTTAAATTATATAAATCCATTCAAATTGGTATTTAAAATGATTGCAAAAGATGTCAAGAAATTAGAGTAGAAAAGAAAAAGACTTTAACGCAACTCTCAAGCAGATTTGAAGTTTGAACAGCTGAGGTGGCTCCAGAAACCAAAGTGTTAATTTGGTTGTGAAAGAAGGGTGATATTAATCATGTCACTTAATTCATATGTTAATAAAACTCAAGTGGATCAGATATAATGATGAAACGAATCTCTATGATTAGCAGAAACAAACTCAAGTAATCATGGTTTCAACACAAAGAATGTGACACCGTTGCTAAGGTCTTCTAGTCCTAGAGACTATATATCATGGGTACAAGAATTTTTTTTTACGAAGAATCATATAAAAAGTGGCAATCACTGGGAAGTAGAATGAGTTTCGTATTCGAAAACCTTTCACCATAAAATCCGGGTGGTGCTTCCCAAACTATTAAGGATTCCAATAGATATACTAAAGAGGAAGGAGAGTGAACATGAAGCAAACTTTAAAAGGAAGAAGTGAAAAGAGGACAAAAGAGAGTTTAACAGTAGAAAGCTAAAAAGGAAACAGAGATGGCCACTTTCATCTCCAAGTTTCTAAAGTACACAGAAACATCAAACATACCTGAATAATTTCACTTGGTCCACTCTCTCCTTCTCTCTCTCTCTCTCTCTTGTCATTGAGCATCCTTTTCAATTTCATTGTCACTTGTTGTCATCTTCATACACTCCGTGAATATTACAACAAGTTGTCGTTTCATCCAAACAAATAAAACCGGTCCCAGTTTCAGAAGATCTTTTGAACTGCCAAGCTTTCTTTTGTCTTGTTCCCCCCTCCAAGTCCTTTTTTTCCTCATACAAAAGAGTCTATAAAGTCTCCATTAGTTTACAACTAGTGAATACTACTGTACATATTCAATGTAAGATTTGTAGGTTGGGCTAAGGAGGGTTTAGCCATTTCCTTACACACATATCCGCGGCTGCATACGCTTATACCATAAGAAGACGAGTTGGGGCCTATTAGAATCTGTCCACAGAAATACAACGCATCCATCAATCAGAGCTGGATTTAGCAAAATATCAAGCATAGTTCTGAATAAAAAAGTTCATGAACTCACCAGGACGAAATATAACTCATTTGAAAGGCTTTCTTGAATTAAGGCCAAGTCTATACATGTTATTGGAATCAACCTGGGTATAAGAAAAAGAATACGACATGTATACTCTTTGTTGAAGCACTTTTAAGCACATAAAGGCAATAGACTGAGAGAACAGAAAAAAAAGAAGCTAATAAAATTATGCATGATAAAGAATAGAGATTGGTTTATTGAAGGAGAAAGCAGCCCAAAAAAAGGTTGATGTGAAGTGAAAGTTGCTCCTACAAAGGGATAAACACAGAGGTATTAATTGGTGGAGTTCCAATCAGCTTCAAGTGTTTTGTTGTGTCTTTGTGTGTGTGTCGTGTGTGTCAGCAAACAAGACCTACCCATCTCTCTTTCTCTATCTCTCTCATATTCTTACTACTTTTCTCCACTTATTACAAAACTCAAAAGCATTTGTAGTGAGTCTATTCTTTCCTTATATAGCATCAACTTCTGCTCCCACTTATGAGATAAAAAACTAAATTTTTATGCTTCTTTTTTTCTTAGGCTATATAGCTATTAGTCCAGAAGGTGAGAGCGAAAGAGACAATTGAAGGGAACAAAACCATCACCTGGAAAATTATATACCCTCTTTGCCCCTCATGGAGTCTTCCAGCGGAAAGCCAAGATCATCTGATTCCTCATGCATCGTTTCTGCATCCACCACTCTTCCATTTCCAGATTCCCCAAAGCTGAACCTAAAAAATTACAACAGAGACGCAGAAGCGGCACGAGATCATGACCAAATAGAAGGAGAGGAAGGTGTAAGGCTTGAACTTATGCTAGCAGGATATGATTCTAGTCAACCACAGCTCAATCAAGAACTCAATCTCCTCAACTGCTTAGAGGCAGGTGTAGTCACTCCAAGTTTTAACGGGTCAAGTTCCACTGAACAGAAGCTCTTCTCATGCAACTACTGTCAAAGAACATTCTACAGCTCACAGGCGCTTGGTGGTCACCAAAACGCCCACAAAAGAGAAAGGACTTTGGCAAAGCGAGGGCAACGGATGGCATCTGCCGCAGCTTTCGGGCATCCATATAGCTTTGCTCCAGTCCCGTTCCATGGGCAGTACAGCAACAGATCCTTGGGTATTCAGGCGCACTCAATGAGTCACAAGCTAAGTTCATATAACGTGTTTGGTGGTGAGTATGGTCAGATCAATTGGTCAAGGATACCACTAGTTCAGCAACCAGCCATAGGAAAACTAACTTCAACAGAGAATCATTATAATCATCATCAGATGATGATTGCTCCACCGTTGACTTCCACATGTGAAAACATCGGTAGGTTCGATGTTGGAAGGATTCCAGTAGATTTACCAACTTCCGAACTATGGCAGAGAGGCGAGGAATTGTTGAAGCCAGCTGAAGAAGAACAGCAGAAGAACCTTGACTTGTCCCTTAAACTCTGAAATTCTTTTCTTTTCTTTTTTTTGGGTTTTGCTCTGAAATTGGTTTCCTTGAGCCAAGTCTCTCCTCGAGCTTTTTTTTCTTTGTGCTGGTTTTTTGTTGTCATTGATGTCTACACCAGTATTATTCAATTGTTAGTAATCTTGTGAGTATATCTTCTACCATAGATTTATGATGTACATCTTTCCACATTTCTACAAGTTTGAGTTTTTCAACTAGACATCAATGGATTTCTTATAGACAGCCAACAACCATAGAATAGTGAGTGAAGTTCCTAGAAACGAAGAGAAACTTTTTTAGTGTATGAAAGAAAGAGATTATCTTGAGATCTAAGGGAAGATTTGTTGTCATGGAAACCAGAAAAAGACTTATTATTAAGTCAGAGTTGTGATACCTAAAAGTAAGAAAAACATTCTTTTATTGAAAAGTGGTTAACAAGACACACAAGAAAGCAAAAACAAATATAAAATAAGAACTTGTTAGTTGTGATGATGACAAGAAGCAAAGAGTCCAGAAGAACAAACATAATTAATACAACAGATGATCCTAATAATGCAGCTAATAACAAATCATGAAATAATCAAGAATCCAATGAAATCTTTGTGAGACCCCAAAATATGTGTACACTAGACAAAGAGTGACTAGTGTTTGGCCTTTAGGATGAATCTATACGCACTACCTAGATATACATAAATAGAATGTACAAATAACCATGTGCGTATGATGCACAAAAGGTGGGACAAGAGTCAAGACTTATGAGACTAAAACACAAATTTAAAAGGGCTTCATATAATTCTAATGGACTGACTCCAACTTCTCTACACATCTTGAGATGAAACATTTCAAATGAATAAAACATCAAACTGAGGATCTTTTCATGAGCTTTCACACAGAACGAAGTTTCAGTATTTCAGAAACTTAAGAAAACAAAAGATTGCTGAACAGGTTTATGAATAACTAGCAAGCAAGGGAGGCAAGTTAGGGGAACCAGACGATCCTCTCAATAAGTAGCATACACGAGATTATGGCCAACCTGAATATACCACTCTAACACAAAAGGACAAGATAGAAGCCAAAATAACTCACAAATATCAAAATTGGACACAGCTACACTGAACACCAAACGTTGGACAATAACAAATGTTGGCATATGAATCTGAAATACTAAAGATTATCAAACTCTTCACCTAGAACCAAATAGAAGTATGTAGACTTTCTTCCCAATAAACATTTAAGGCACAAGACAGATCATCATGTTTGTTTTCAGATACAGAATTGGCCACAAGCAACAAAAAAAAAGAATGAAAACAGACCTTAATGAATAAAACAAAGAAGAAACAAACACCAAGGCAGACAATAACACATGTGGAATAAAAATCTAGTGGAACCAAACCTCATTGAATAACTCTTGGGTCCATTTTGATCTACTTGTATGCATACCACAAATCTGACCCAACAATACTCTTCAATCTGAGTCACACTTTCCTGAAACACATAGCAAGAAAAAAAGATATTGATGGATCATTTATCAGGTTGCTACCAAATGACATCCACAGGTCAGCTGATTAATTGACTAATCAATGCAAGTGAAAATGTATCCCTTGTGAAGCACCATCTTCTCCTACAACGCAATGAGCATAAGAAAAAAAAGAAAGAAATCTTTGATTGCACTGAGAAAATTTCCAGTGTTCTCTTATTTTGCAATTGACAACATTGCTAAACGATACGAATATTTATTTAAGGCTAAGTTTAAATAAATCATTTTTCATTACTCTGAGATTCAAGCATTTTGATAATCCGACTGAGCATTTCGCCGGCAAATACATATGAAGCTGAACCTACAAATCACTCGAATTCCTAATATTTGGCACAGTAATCTCAATGAAATTAAAAAAGATGTTGGACTTCTCACCAGAAACCAGGCATGTACCGGAGTTTCGCCGGAGCTTACGTGAGGACTCCGAGTTTTCGAACAAAGTTCACGAGCAGGTAATCTAGAATTTTAAAAGGCCCAATAACAAGCCCATTATATTAAATTTTAAACATACTGTGAAAACAAGAAAAGGCTTCGTGATGTCTCTTTATTCTTTTTCATACCAAATATACGAAGCCCATATTGACATCGAGAACCACCCTTTTAAATATAAAAACCAAAAGACAATAATTTTGAATTTTCGGCAACATCTTAAATTTTATACCAACCATTTTATCCACTAAAATCTATCCAATCAAATTAATAATCATCTTCGTGTCAAAATTATCGGTTATATTCTGGGTTATGGGCTAAATCGAAACAGTAACTCAAAAGAAATCAACAAGAACCGATAAAGAAAGGAAAGATTTTATCATTGCTTTGCTTAAAACGGAGCTGTAAGTAGAACAATTAACAACACCATGTACTTGGTAAGAAAAATAAAAGAGTAAAAGGAAAGAAGAATCCCAAACACACTAATACATCAACGTAAAAATCTAAATCGAATTAGGTAAAAAAAACTTAAGCACGTTCTCCACGAATCCTTCTAGCCAATTGAATGTCCTTAGGCATGATCGTAACCCTTTTAGCGTGAATAGCGCAAAGATTGGTATCCTCGAAAAGTCCAACAAGGTATGCCTCAGCCGCCTCTTGAAGAGCTAACACCGCGTGACTCTGAAACCTCAGATCCGTCTGCAAATTCCAATTCACAAATTAGTAAACCTAATTCCACAATATCATCTCAATCCGCCGCTAATCTATCTAGGATCAAGTTTATGAGAATTAATTGTACCTTGAAGTCCTGAGCGATTTCACGAACGAGACGCTGGAAGGGAAGCTTGCGGATCAACAATTCAGTGCTCTTCTGGTATTTACGAATCTCACGAAGAGCGACGGTTCCGGGACGGTAACGGTGAGGCTTCTTGACTCCTCCGGTGGTCGGTGCAGATTTCCTCGCCGCCTGTATTTAAAGAATTCGTTAGAGACGCAATCAAAAATTCAGCTTAGATATAAACCCTAGATCCCCTTTCAACCAATTTCATCAGCAAAAAAATCAAAACCTCAAGATTCCACCTAAATTAAGATCATAAACTCAAATTTCAACTAAATTTACAAAACCTAGGTCATCTTTTACTGATTTAAAACTCCTAATTCAACGCAAATTTGAACCCTAGATCTACTTATTGCGTACAAGACGAGAGATGAAAGAACAAACCTTGGTGGCAAGCTGCTTCCTGGGAGCTTTACCTCCGGTGGATTTCCTAGCGGTTTGCTTGGTACGAGCCATTGTCTTCTCAAAGATGTGACTTTTCGAAAAGCTTGAGAGGATTCGATTTGATTATCAAAAAGCGAGTTTTGTTTTCTTGATGATTGTTGTGGGGGAATTGTAAAAGGTTATTATATATATATATATATATATAGGTGAATGTTTAGTCGGTTAATATTAGGAAATACAGAAGTGGTCCAATCTGCACATTTTTGACGGTCAAGATTCGACTGATGTGAGAGAAACTGACGTTGGCGATCCGCGTCCTCGCTTCTGATTGGTTTAATTCTTGGGAGGATCGGTGACGTGGACATTTTGTGTTTCTTTTCTACGTTTGAAGTAATCACGATTTTAGTTGGGTTAAAGAAAAAGGTAATGACGATTTTATCTACTTGTTTGATAATTAGCATTGATGGGCCGTATCTCTTGGTAAGGCGTGTACCGTTGGGTTCAGGCCCAACTGATAAGGCATTGAGAGTTCTTCAGCTGTGTTTTGATCGATCCGAGATCCGAGATGTGACGTTGATCGGAGTCAGGTTGGTCTTGTAAAAAACATCACATGACATATGTTGAACACATTTCAGTCCAACTTTGACATATGACATATGATGTTCTGAAGTTGTTCAATGTACACATTATTACTTCATTTTGAATTATAAACTCTAAAATTTGATGTAATTTGGTATTAGAACATAAAACACATTCCAGCCCAACTCGAACGAAAAATTCAATCCACCAGACATCATGTTGAGATGAATGATTAGAAAAAGTTATTATCTCATTGAATCGTGTTACAACATTATTATATTTCTAATGGAATGTTACGTCTTTGCAGGAAATGAAAAACAATAGGTTAACCAAGGAAATATAAGAACTTCACGAAAGTAAGTAGGCTTCTAACAATAAAAACAGAGACTGGATGTCAAAGGTCAAAAGAAGAGAGGAAAATGGGGGAGACTCCGGCTAGGACCGAGTGTGCTCATCGATCTAAATGACTTGCATTTAGAAAACATAATCTTCACTAATCGTACAAGTTTATATTAGCCCATACAACACTACATAATCTCGATTTAAACTTTATCATATGGTATAAGTTACGCGTTACGACGAAACCTTTGTGTTATAAGAGATGTCTAAAGACTGTTGCTTAAATAAATCCAAAGCCTAAACCAAAGATTGCATGTTCCGCGCACTACACTCGTATGTCTTGATCACATTTAACGTAGAGTTCTTAGAATAAGTCTTTCCTTTATCTTATCAAATAAACACAAAGATACAAGTTAGAGTTTAATTTGTCCCTAATAGGCATTTATAAAGTGATTTGGCAATTTTTTAACAGAACATATGTTCTTGCGTTCTATTTGTATGATAATCTTTTCAGAAGGTTTCTTTTTAAAAAGAAATGAGTGGATAGTTAACGAATTCACTATACAAAAGTTATACATAAAAAGCTATATTTAATACCAAACATTATTCAAGTAACAAGTTTATCCCTTCTGGCTTCTGCTTGTGGCCAATTAAGCCTAATTTCAAATGCGTCAAAATACAATTTTAATAACACTATACATGTTTTAAGGAAAGAAAATAACTTTGTCTATATCTCTCTGATGAAATTTAATTAGGTAAGCAAGTTTTTCTCCTTTCCTTTTTGTAAGGGGATGAGCAAAATTATAGTATAGACCCGTTCTCTGTCTACTTTTTGGATATTGTTGGTTCAACAAATGACATTACACAAACGATAGTAATCGATGAGATAGTTGATCAACCATCATTAAAGTTATAAGTGGTTGATCCCAATTAAAATCTAGGAGTAGTATATACCAAAACATACCATTTAATGAATTCACATGGAACAATAATACTAAACGAGATATGCTTAAGAAGATCAAATTAAACGAGAAGATCCTTAGAACCCAACAAGTAAGGGTTAGTAGTAACTAACCCAAGGGGAATGTATCCAAGTTCCATATCATGCACTTGGAATATTGACCCAAGTTTATTTATTTGAATACATATATTTATAATATTTGCATTTAATTCATCTTTCCTTTGGTATATTTAACTTGATTGTAATATAATAACTTGATTTCAATTGATACTATTAAAATTTAAAAATATATTATAAGCAAATCACGTCACATGCATAATATGTAGGATAATATGTGATATATAGGATCGATGGATAAGAGCTCGAGGTTTGGATTATTGATCAACCATTGTATTTTGATATTGGTCTGGATCACTCCCACACTTTATCTTATACTGTAATCTATTCTGGGGGCTATATAATTGACAACATTTTTTCCCTTGAAAATGTACGATTTAATAACTGATAATGTGAGAGACAATCAGAATCAAGTTTACATTTGCTCCAAATATTAAACGAGAAATATTTTGGGTTCTTGTTGGAGTTGAGACGTTAGCGCACATGGTGGCTTGGCCACTTGGACACATTCGTAAACTACAAAAACTAGTGTTTTGGTACGCCGCATTACATTATTGTTCGTTTCTTATAAAATACTTATCTCTAGAAAATAAATTAAATTGATTTGCCTGTGATGATGTAATCTTTACAACAGAATTTATGTTTTGATTATAGTATACAATTAAAATTACATTTGTATAAGTACATTTAATTTCCTCCCTTTTCCTGCTACGCATGCATGCATGTGGTGGGTTTCATTTATTTCTTCTATTAATTAACCAAGAACTTCACACTTCCGCGCGCTGAAATTATAGACTAATCTTATGAAGACATAATTTAGTATTTGTTATAAACCACATTAGGATGAACTCCATAACCGTGGCCCAGAGGGCCCATGTCCACGTTCTAGAAGACTTACTCAATGACGGTTTATGTTAGTCTTAGTGGGCTTTGGGCTTTAGAGTTTCCTAGCCCAATTGGGATTTGTTTCCCCTATTGTGTATATATATATGTTATAACTCCATTCATTAATGATAAAAATACACGAGATTCATAACAGTATTCATTAAAAATTTGAAAATATATTATTTTTCTCGAACATTTTTCTATTGTTTAGTTTGAAGATTTGAAAGCTTTGAGCCTTTGACCCTAGAGCGGCGGTTGAAGCCACGCCTTTGCCTGTAACTTAGAACACTTTTTAACATCTTAAAACATTTATATTTTTAAACTGGATTGTATATATAAATAATTATCTGCTATCTTTTGCTCGATGATATAATGGCAGGCTTGCCGCTTACATGCAGATGCAGTTCCCAATTATGGAATCGTTTAGGGCCTTTAAATTTGACGTCGCCTCCTATAAACCAAAGATTTTGCTGCTCAAGATGAGAGATCAGGAATAGAAATTTGCACATTTTGGTTCGAGAAATAGCTACATAGTGTAAAGACATAAAGACTTTTGATTATACATCAAACAAGGTGGTGAATATAAAGAGAGAAATGACTCACTGTGTCTCTGAATCTCAAGGTGGTGTTTTAAAGTCTTTCCAAAGACTGGTCTTCTTGTCCAGCACATGCTCTTATTTCCCTACCACATACTACAAATTATTTCTCTTTCTTTAATACGTGACACTTCCTTTTGTAACCACGCTTACTGGTTTTTTACATTACTAATCATTGCCAATTTCATTCAATTATAATACTAAGCAATTCTTTGTCTCTAATGACTGCCACTTTAACATGTTTTTCCATGATAGTCTCTCATTATATAGCATATTTATTACAAACATAGCTAGGAGCCTAGGATTTATATAAACCAATAATCAACCACTAATTTTCACATGTCGAATCCATCATAAATCAGACATATCCAATGCATCAAGAAGAAAAAAACATACAAGATCTTTAATGTTTCCTCCTCTTCAGAATCGTATCTAATATCTCTGCTAACATAATAATTAAAACTAATCTCCCGAGTAAATTAATCTAATCCATAATAACACACACTAGCTAATCATGTTTCATCCGACGCAAGAAGCCAAAAGTAAGAACCAATATGGCAATCTAGTAATTATCTCGTAATCCTAAGGGCTTTATGTTACTCTCTTTACTATATAAACCTCGTCCCTCCCAAAAACTCTCAAACCTCTCTACCTCACATTTTCTCTGTTTCTCAAACTTTCTCGTCTAAGAAAATACCTCACATTCGCTAAAGCTTGAGTAATCGGAAAAAAATGGCTGGAGGTATCGGAAAATGTAGCAAGATCCGACACATTGTGAAGCTAAGGCAAATGCTCCGGCAATGGCGGAACAAGGCGCGGATGTCTTCTGTCAGAAGATCTGTGCCGTCGGATGTGCCGTCAGGACACGTGGCGGTTTACGTTGGGAGCAGTTGCAGGAGATTTGTGGTGCGCGCGACGTATCTGAACCATCCAATCCTGATGAATCACTTGGTTAAGGCTGAAGAGGAGTTCGGTTTTGCTAACCAGGGACCGTTGGTTATCCCATGTGAAGAATCGGTTTTTGAGGAATCGATTCGGTTTATAACTCGGTCAAGTCGGTTTACTTGTACCGATGATTTAAAGAAGAATTGCCACGATGGTATTATAAGCAAGCTGGATCTTTTGATGGAATCTCGGCCGTTGCTTCACGGCGTCTCTGAGAAGGCTATCATCTGGTGACCAGAAAGAAAATTGCATTCAATTCTGACTCGGTATTGAAGGGTTTTGAATAACCGGGTTCAGGTTAGTAAATTCAAGTCGGTGGGAGATGGCCGTGAAAGGTGGGATGATTCATTCCACCTGAGTCGTCCCGGGTTCGAATCCGAGTTCAGGAAAAAAAAAACCGTGATTTAGTTTTGGTGACTGATTCCATATTTCCCATTCAGTTTATTTATTTATTGTTTTTTTTTACCTCATCACATTTATTTATTAATTTTATTTTCATATTCTTTGGATCAAATTTATTTTCAAATTGACCACGATTGTAACCTAGCATTTCTGTTGTCGTTGTATCACCATTTGAATACATTTATCTTCTTTCATCACTGCACACAAATCTTTGTCTACATTAATGTTCGTTGTTGCCATCCAAAAAATCGATAATGATTCTAGTGTAGTGGTTTGTGATAGTATTATCGTTGCGCCATCATGATTTAAACCCATACAAATGATACAATACATGTAGTCAAAAATTTGCACTAGATGTTGTTACTACGGTCCTCAAATTTGGGTTTCGCTAGCAACTTTGTTTATTTGAACGCCTTTGTGACAGCCGACTAAACTTGAAGAACACCCTAACCTAAATGGGTTTAAGCCCAGGGCATATGATTTGTTTTGGACTTAGATATCTATACCCAAACTCATAACTTTTGCAGGATGAGTCTGAACCGGGCTTGAAGCATTGGTCGTAATTAACATGTTTGTTTAGTGTTTAGTAACAACTAGAACTGGCGATTTATGAGAATTAAAATTAAGTAATACGGCCAATAGCGGATGCAGCCCAAGGATAACTCTTGTCATCTGAAAATCATCATCTCAGGTAGGCCTGGGATTTCGGTTAACCGTCGGTTATTGGTTGGGTCCATTCGGTTTCGGTTCTTTCGGTTTCAAAATTTAGTATCCATTCGGATATTTTGAAATTTCGGTTCGGTTTCAGTTCGGTTCCGGTTCTTTCGGTTTTAAAATTTAGTATCCATTCGGTTATTTTGTTTAGGATATTTCCGGATATTTCGGATATTTTTTGATATATTTCGGTTATTTTCGAGTATTTTTACTATTTTTATATATTTTTCAAGTATTTTTGATTATTTGTTCTATAAATAACTAATTATTTTGAAAATATAATTGTATTTCGGGTATTTCGGTTCGTTATCGATTCGGTTACGGTTATTTCGGTTATAGAATTTAGTATCCATTCGGTTATTTTTAAATTTTCGGTTCGGTTCGATTTTTTTTTTCTTCGGTTTTAGTTTGGTACATTCGGTTCGGTTTATTTGCCCAGATCTAATCTCAGGAAATGAAAACTGGACTAGAAAGACTGGGCCAAGATGAGCCGGCCCATATTCTATGTGAACTATTCAGAAGGAAAGAAACATGACAAATATAATTGTCGAGAAATTAAGTCCGTAGATTATGTCGATCTGGAATTGTCTGCATATCAAAAAAAGCGCATAAAAATCAGTAAACATGTCCTAAGTTTACATTCTCTGCAACTGGTAGTTATAGTTACAAACGAATGATGCAATAAGTGGTTAGTAACGTAAATTCGTAATCAGGGGGGGGGGGGGGCAAAATTAGAGGCAAAAAGAGAAAGAATAGGGAGACAGTGGGACCCACTGTTCACATGTTACAATGGCACTTTGTCGGAAAACATGAAATATTTCCCAAAGGTGCTCTCTCTCTCTCTCTTTTCCCTATCTTAAGCCTCACCTCACGCCACACTTCAGATGATAAAACGCATATTTCACTATTTTTCCCTTAACTTTTTTTATTTTAATCCAATTACACCCCATCTTTATTAAATTTGCATTATTTGCCATTTATTTACACTCTTACATCCTACAGAGATGGCAGAAATCTCGGTTTCCTTGTGTATTATTATTCCCTAACGTTACAAAAATATACACCTCATTATGAGTGGAACCGTTATAAAGTATTTAAAAGGGGCCACCCAAAAAAGAAAGAAAATAATAATAGGACCAAACTCTAATAATAGTCTAAAGATCGTACTAAATCCAAAGCTTAATAAGGACTTATTATCCAAAGCCACCGAGTCAACATTTGACAACTAATCTTCTCAACTAATACAACAAGACACCGCCATCAAATACCAACCCTTTCTTACAAATCGTACTTGAATTTCTTTTAACCAACGATAGAATCATACTGAAATTAGTTATATAAGAGATATTACGAAAATTGAATTCCTTAAAAAAATTTACTCCAATATTTTTATATCTTCTCGTCCGTGATTTCAGAGGGAAAATTAATGTAAAAAAAAAAAAAAACATTTAAAATAAAAAATTGACCGGAAACAGTAACTTTCCTTTTCCCTCGAAAAAGAATATTTTCACTTAATCCAAGCGTAAACCAGTAATGAGAATCCAAGACCATTGCCGGAACCAGAACCAGAAGATCCTCCTCCGCCGTACTCCGCCTCATCAGCACTACTTGCCCACTCCATAACCGATGAACTACAAGCCGAAGAAGCCGACGACATCGAAATCGACGACGATGACGAACTTCTCTTACTCTTAACAAATCTCTTCCTCATCTTCCTCCACTCAACAATTCCTTTAATCCCAAAACTATTTCCACACTGCTTCGGCTTCCATAAAACGATGCCGTTTCGGTTTTTCTCATCTTCTTCTTCTTTCCTCTTTGTTTCACAAACCTCCTCTGCTTCTGGATCACTCTCGAATCTAAACATAAACACCGCGTGTCCTCCTCCTCCTCCGCCGTCACCGGAGTTTTTACTCTGAAACAGCCAATTGTATACATCCCAAGAGATTTGAACTTGAACACCATCAATTTCAACTTTCTCATTTCCTCTAAATTTCCATCGAAGTCGTTTGATCTGCAAAACCTGTTTCGAATCAACGCTAAAACAGAGCTTAGCGTCTTCATCAACACGACAATCAATAGAAATCTCTCTGTTCTTCCCTCCAAATCTAGCTTTCGTTGTGAAAACCCTGGCTCCAAACACATGCTCTTTCCTCAACAGAAGAGCTTGTGGATTCGTCGGAGGTTTCGCCGATTTAGCACGAGCGTAAGCTTCTTTGACCGAATCTCCGACTAATAGTCCCATCTCTCCGTCAACAACTACAGCGATGTAGAATCCGGATCTAGGTTCGGATCCAGAGTCGAATTTGGCTTTGCTTAAGTCCCAGAAGACTTGGATTTTAGGAGAAACGAATCTGGATCCGCGTTTTTTCCAGAAAGCTAATGTGTTTAAGTTGAGATGGAAAGAGACGGCGGAGGAGAGGGAGAGATCGGCGGAGGAGAAAGAGAGTGGTGAAGAGTGGTTGTAGTAATCTTGTGAGTGGAGGAAGAGATTCACAGAGTGGCCTCCTAAGAAAGTTCGAGACCATGTTAGATAGAAGACGCCGTGATCTGTTTGGTAGAGGCAAGTAGTGAGATTCGGATCACCGGAAGATAGAGGAGACGGTGATTGAGACGGCGGTGGCGGCGGAGGATGATTTTGATCGGCGGTTGGACGGAGCCAAGAAGGAGACATTTTTGTGTTTCCTATTTTTTCTCAAGTTTGGAAGAAGAAGAAGAAAGAAAGAATTAAAGAGAGAGATTTTCGGGAGTTTGTGTTTGGGAGGTTTTTTTCTTGTTTCCTTTTTTTTTTGTTTAAGAGGGATTTATATTTATATAAAAAGATTGTTAAATTTCAGAAAATGGAAAAGTTATAATATAATGTTTGGCTCGAATCATTCGTAAAAACAAGAATGTGGATGAGGATTGATAGAGACATAAGATTATAATTATACGAATATTGAACTTGTGAGCTTGCAACTTGTAAACTTGGGCATGAATAACTGACTTTTTCAACTTGACTTTCTTATATGGAGGATGAATTTAAACAAGAACTATTCACATTTAAATAAAAAATAATAATTTAGTTGAATATTAGGAGATATTATAAGGGTTAACAGTAAAAAGGCGTTATTAACTGTTCGACTATGAGGAACACGTTATGATAACAGCCTGCACACTTGAAGGTTTTATTGGAGAACATAATCAATTGGTAGAAGTTGGGTCAATTATTTCACATTATACAACCTTTATTTATTTTATGTCATATTATATATATATAATCTAGAATTAATACACACCCATTTATCGTTTTAACTTTTAACATATCCATTTATAGTCTACATGGTTAAGGTATATTAATTTCATTTATAGTAGTAATACACACCAACAAGTTGTTATTTTAACGCCTGATGGACAGTTAAAATAACAGAAAATTATAATGTGTGACAATTAAAAATGTATCCCTTGTGATGCCTGAAAAAAAAAAGACAAATAATTGGTTCGGTCGACTTAATATCATTTTACTTTGTGAAAACATCGTTTTCGGTTTATTTAATTATGTTTTCATAAGTTATATTTTATTGATTTTCTTGAGTTATTCGGATACGTTGGCAGACAGCTAAAAGGAGGTGGATAAGTACTTATTGAGTCATATCCGTATTATTAATTAATTTGATATTTGGTTAGATCCGTATTTTCTTATGCTATGAGACAAGATGTGTTTTGAAACTTTAGGTTCAAGAAATTATAACTGTAAGACAGCTAAACGTCTTTACATTATTTATATAATTAGCTACGTGTATAACAACCCATTATAAGCCATGGTTTATACACCAAACATTTAACTAATTATTCGAACCTGTATTATATGATAAAAATATTAAAAAAGAAAAACTGAAACACCTTTCTATAAATTTTTTGATATAAATCACTAGTTTAAGTTTTGTTGTCTCCCAATTTATAGTTTTAACACTGTTTAACTTATTTTGGCTCGAAAAATTTGTGTTAAGAAAACAATTTTATCAACTATTTTTTTTGTCTTTTTGGTGAATTCAATTTTATCAACTAAATTGTGAATCCAATTGGTACTTATCGTTTCATTGAGACTAAAATATTGTTTTTGACGGTAAAAAAGAAGACAGTAAATATTTTCCTTTCCCTATCTAAAATTAGCATAATTTTCAACTTATAAAATCTGTATTAAAAGATAACACTTCAGTTAACTAATCTGGAAAAATAATTTACTAATACAATATTCTCGGTAATAAGTTGGTATAGCTCATGTCCTTTTTTTTTTGGACAAATGTATAGCTCATGTACAAGATACTAGAATTTACCAGCCTAAATAATGGAGTACAATTAGTTTCACGTGATATCAGTCCTAAAGAGTGAGTCTTTGTTGTCTCATCCCATAATATTTGGATCATATCCACATGTTTTTTTTATTGTACAAGTGAGATCTTTGATACACACTAGCAATAAACAATTTAATGTAATAATTACGCTCAACTTGTAGCTAGTAACTAGTAAGATTGTTTTGCTTCAAAATGACTCTGTCCCCTATCTTTTGAAACACTTTCAAATCATAGGCTGATAGGACGATCTATTTTTGTGAACTAAGCTTAAAAACTTTGTTTCCGTTATTGACAAAAAACTCGTACTTCCGAACATAGTTTGAATACATTTAAAAGTAATAAACAGAAACTTAATTTGAAGAAATGGTGATGAAGATAGTATATTTGATTTTGTTTAATGAAATTTATAAAAACAAACGAATTTGAGAGCAATGGTTGACTGAATTTTCTCATGTAGAAGACTAAGACCAGGTCAGTTTGAAACGACAACACGCTTTTGATTCAACTTAATAACCCCTCCTCTCGAGTCTGGTCGACCTTCATTTTCTTATACTGTCTGTCCACTTCTTAGATTCTCTTTTCAACCTTTTCAAATACCTTTCTTTTCTTTTATCACACCTACTTCATTAATATCTCTTGACTAAGCGACAAGTTTTTCTCTTTTTTTATTTATTTTATACTTCCTCCGTTTCATAATATAAGTCGTTTTAGTTTTAAACACGCAGATTAAGAAGATCTACTTTTAAAAGGTTTAGCCAATTATAAAAAAGACTGCATAATAAAAATAATTATAAAATATTAAAGTAATATATAAAGTGCATAGAAACTTGAAAACGACTTATATTATGAAACAAAATTTTTTCTCCAAAACGACTTATATTATGAAACGGAGGAAGTAATTGATTTGGTGAAACTGTGTATGATTGGTAATCTTCTACCAGAATGACAATAATTTGGCTGTTCACAAAAATCCTAATAAAAAGATGACCAAAAAGTAGAAATAGGCTGTGTAAAAGAAGAAAAAAAAAAACAGAGTGTAGAGATAATTCTACAAGCTACTGCTAAAGATTTAATTATTTTTTCATAACATCTGATTTCATATCTTGGTTATAGCTGTTTTACTTTGTTTTCAACTGGTCGTAGCTGTTTAAGTGTCGCAGAAATATTGATTTATGTATCTATCAGTTAATCATCAGATCCTAGAACCTTGTTAATGGACAAATAAATTGTGAAGATAATTATAAAGACACAAAATATATGTTAATAGAAACAATGTTGCGATTATAGACCATTGTTCCATGTGGGTTTTTTCACTAACTCGTGAATAACTTATATTTGTATTTCAGAGAAGTGTATATTATATATAAATACTGTATATGGTTAAATAATGAATTCATCGGCGGAATATTAGCTGCCACGAAGTAATTGAGATCTCGGACTATATATGCTTGGTGGGAAATAGCAGGTTCCATGTCTCGAAGATCATAATTTTAATAAAATAATAAAATCTATATATACATTTTTGGATGACTTTTAGCAAATAAATCCTGGAGTTGAAATGTATTTACAAAGAATGCCATTGGCATTTATTATTTACTTTTACAAAATTTAAATAAAAGATATGAACCAAACAATATCTTGCCTAATTTGTTTTTAAAAATCTCTACACAATCTTTCCATATATCTTCAAAAAACTTTTATAGCAAATATTTATATTAACATTTTGCATAGTAATAAAAATACTAATTTATAATAATCAAAATATTCACATAGAAAAATTATATACACATACAAGAAAAAAACTATATATGTCATCATTTAAGCCGTTGCTTTATTTAAATAAAATAAAAACACAAAAACCTGAAATCATTTATTTTATATGATAAATTTAAAATATATATTAGTAATATAAATTTAAAATCATTCAAAGAACGGTATACCACGGGTGAGATCCTAAAATTATTGGATTTTATTACAATAATAATTTATTTTCTTGGATTTTATAACACTAATAATTTAGCTAATGGGATAATATAGACGGGTTTATATGGAATGACGGGTTTGGGTCGATATTAATAACGGTATATTAAGGATGAAATCCTAAAATTAACAATCAAAATACAATTATACAATCTTAAACACAAAACAAAAGAAACAATATTAACAAAACAAATACAACTTAAAATTTTTAGTTATTAAAAAACCGACCCACAGTATACTTCGGAGTCAAATATTCAAAATTTTAAAATCCACCATACATCGTTACTTAAAAAAAATGTATGTTTTCGTATCTATACTTTAAAAATTGAAACCTAAACAATAGTAATCATACACTAGATAATACATAGATAGATATCTACATTTAAAATTACAAATTAATATGATATATCTTCAGTTAAACTTTAAAAAATAACATTATATTTTTTTAAAAAATATAGCCACGCGGTGTACCGCGGGTTAAATTCTAGTAATATACATACGTAAATGTAAAACAATATGATTCGGACCGAGTTCTTTGGTCTGGGTTTGACTATACCGTTTTTTTATTTGGAACCAATTCAATTAAGTTTGGTTTATAACGGTTCGGTTTCGAAAGCATTTAGAAATTAAAAGCCCTAATTTCTAGCCATTGTTTCCTTCTTCTCCGACGGCTCAATAATACCTTCTCCTCTGGTCGACGACTCCAAAATCGCCGGTTATAGTTTCTTCTCCGACGTCTTCTAATTTCGCCACTCTCCGTGTTATTTACAAGTATGTTTACATTGAGCTTGATTCTCTGTTACGATGTCTTACCTCGTAGAGACTTCACCTAGATTGATCGGGGCATATCGAGCTTGTTGTGATGATTTAGGTAGTAGAATCGAGCTTTGATATATCAAATTTGAGTCTAGACTCGTGTTTTAGGTAGAAAAGGATGAGTTTTGTTTTCTGTTATATACATTAGCTTGAACCCTTGCTAAAACACAGTTAAGAACTTGTTGGTTTTATGTTAAATGGTCTTGGTTTTTTTATTGAACTCTTTTACATGATTTCTCTTAGACAAAGATAAGGTGTGGCTGCAATGTCTGAAGGAGAAAAGAAACTGCCTTTCATACCAGAGGAATGGTCGAATGCAGCAAGTTCTGTTTCCAGCAGTTCGTTGCAACCGGTTATAGCTTTGGTCTGTGGCCCTAAAAACAGTGGCAAAAGCACATTTTCACGCAATCTTGTTGAAGTTCTTCTCCAAAGGTTATTATTGCTTCTCCTTCAGCCTCTCTTTATTGTTCCGAGTCTCTTAACGAGTGTTCGAGAATCTGAGTATCATTTTGCAAAATGTAAATCAGCAGCAGTGGGGAAAAATGTCTTTACCTTCTACTTTAGTTTGAATGGATCCAATATCTTCTTTAGTGGCTTATGATGGTTGTTGCTTTGTTTGGATAAGTTTTACTGAAAATTTGACCTTTGTGGTTTTTACAGATACAAAAGGGTTGCTTATTTGGATACTGATGTTGGCCAGCCTGAATTTACTGCACCTGGTTTTCTTTCTCTCACTGTTGTTGATAGATCAATTCTAGGTACCCTCAAACTTATTGCTTTGACGATTCTTGCTGTTTGCATTCCCAAAACTTGTTTTCATAATGCTATTTCTGT